CTCCTCTATATATATATTTATATATATATATATATATAGAGAGAGAGAGAGAGAGAGAGAGATAGATAGGGGGGGGGAGTGGAGTTTCAAAAAATACAAACCAAGTAACTATTAAAAACTTAACAAACCAATCTCAAACCGTACGTAGAATATGATTAATCGAATCATGAATTTACTCTCAAACGCATCTTTAACTGATTTAATAACCACCTCTAAATTCAAAATCAAGAGTCGAGATTTTGTTTGCAGGGTTTATAACAATTGCATGGTTTGTATTTACATCTCTCTCTCCCTCTCTCTCTCTCTCTCTCTCTCTCTATATATATATATATATATAAATGAAAAGTTGGGGGTTGCAAACCTGTTATCCGTTGTGAATCAAGAGACGAATGAGGACGTGACACGTATCTCCAGTATATTCATTACAATTTGTAATTACATGTTTTGAAAGTTTAATGGTAAACAATAGAAACATCTTCTCCCTTGATCTATACATCTATATCATCATTAAAAACAAGAGGGGTAGTATTAGTACTTTGTTCAAGTTTAGTTGTATTACCACTTCTTTGTGCTTCTATCAACAAAGTTATATAAAACCTATTTTGTGTGATTTTAATTTTGCTATACATTTAGACCCAATGCAACTTGATCAACTAAAAATATGATATGTTCGCTTTGAAAATTCACATCCAAATACCTATTAAAATAGATCAATCAGACAATTTGCTAAGGGTTTAAGGGCAAAAGTGATGCATACTAAAAAATACAGATAAAAACATTAATATATGTTTTTCGTATATATCGTCAGTTAAAAAAATTATGATTTTCGTCCTTATGGTCTGTAATTCATTATTATTTTCGTTCTTATGATTTACAATTTATTGTTGTTTCGGTCCCTATGGTTTACAATTCTCTACTGTTTTGGTCCATTTTACTTAAAAATTGGAATTAATCCAGTGATGAAAATAGCAAAAAATCATAAACCATAAGGACGAAGATTACTATTTCTAAACAATAAGAACAAAAATCACGATTTACTCTATAAAAAAAGTTGAAATGTTAATATTTTAATCTAAATTTTTTTTTCTTTCATTATCTATATCATATTATAAATTATTTGACAAAAACTCTTAAACACCATTTTTTGTATATAAAGTACTGTTTATTGATACATATTACTTAAAATTCAAGATCATAAGCAAATTGTACGTAAGTACAACTTATTAAAGCTTTATTTTTGAATTTGTGTAACTAACTATAGATAAACATAATCAAATACGAGATAAAAATCTCATTTTGAATATAAAAAATCTAGAATATAATAAGAATTATCATTAGTTATAACAAAATACTTAATTATTATCTTTATAATATTATTAAATGATAAATAAATTATTTTGTTATCAAATCTAAATTAAATTATAAATAAAATATTGAGTTAAGAAAATTACACAAATAACAGAACTTTAAATAGTAAATTAATATCAATATATTTTTTCCTAAATTTTTATGATATATTTAAATTTATATTTTATTAAAAAATAAAAATATTATCACTTTCTCAAAACAAAAAGTTGTATTAAATTGACATGGATAAATAATAAACATTAAAATTGAGATATATTTCGTTATATTATACAAGGACCCTCTATTTCTATCTTAAATTAACTAATGTGTTAATTTATTTCAAAATAGAAACCTGGGCCGTTTAGTAGGTTAGTTCAAAACCTAGAACTTAGAAGTTAAGCATGCTTTCAGGCCCAACTTACTTGGCCCATCATAAAGCCTATTATGTCCCAATACAAGCCCGCTGTCATCGCCGGCGGTGAATACAACCGCCGTTCTCCGATCAGAAGCATCGTCGGAAAGCAAACAAGAAAAACGCCATCATTGCTGCTTCATGCTAAGTCTCTTTACAGTCGTAAAATTCTCAAAATTCTTAAAATAATGAATTCAAACAAATATATCTACAAAACTAGTGCTGCTACTTGATTAATCTGATCAAAGGTACATACCTTTAATGGCGAATTGGCCTGAATCATTCCAGCACAAGCCACTGCAATTCCGAGCTCCACCTCCGTCGCCGGTTGCTTCTGGACGTCGATCTTCCGTTACAAACGATGAGATTCTCACAGAATTTCTCCACCGTTCGCTTAGTGTACCTGATCTCGTCCTACCCGATCGCCTACAAAAATCGAAGGTTCAAAACCTCCCCAAACTCGACTACAAATTACTTCAATCGTTGGAAGGTGTCAACGTTACCGACATACTTGATTTGATTTCACGAACCGGTTGCTTTCAGCTCGTTAACCATGGAATCTCCAATCAACTTGTTCGTTCTGCGGCCAATTATGGCGCCGAAATTTTCGAATTATCACCGGAGAAAAAAGCTTTTCTGTTAAGATCTGCTGATAGGATGTACGGTTTCGTCGAGTTTAATGGCGAAGAGAAGGAAACGAGTGAAGAGTTCGTATGGTGTAGAGACGATGCGTTGAGGTCGAAAATGGAGGAAGCTCTTCAAAATTCACATTTCAGGTAACAATATCTTCTCCAAATCCTCTGATTCAATTCCAAAACACAAAATTGAAACATTGATTATTTGCACAAATACAACTGACAGCGTGAACCTTGAGATCCTTACATCCGTCATCGAGAAAATAGCAGAAATCATCCTGAAATTTCTATCCAAGAACGGTCCACCAAAATCAGGATTCAACGACGATGAAGGAGCAAGTGAGAAACAAACTGGTGGATCAATTTGTTACGTTCATAGACACAATCCAGATCTGAAGAAATTTCAAAGTAATAATCACCATACGAACTCTATGAGATACGATATGATACGAATGCTGATTAGAGGATCCGAACATTCTCACACGCTATGCCTTCATGTATGCCATGGATCCTCTGAGTTCCATGTTTATTCTAAGAAAGGTTGGGTGACGTTTCTCCATGAGAAAGATGCCTTGGTCATCACCATTGGTGATTTATTAAAGGTACAAAATTTCTCCCTTCATCATAAAATAAATTAATACATGTGTAATTACTACGGTTTTAGGGTCATTTACCAAACACTTACCCGGATTAGTGCTTCACGACAAATTTCAACACTATCACTTGCTTAGTGGATAAGATTTTAATCCATCAAAGCAGTATCGTATGCAACAATTTACCCTGTAACCGTTAACTGTGATAAGAGCCGTCATTATCACTTACCGGGTAATACTCTGAGTCTCTGCCTTCGTTCTTACCTGATAATATTTTTGATCTTTACTATATTCATTTGGTAAGCTAATGTAACTTTGTAATCACTTACCCAGATAAGTGTTTAATAAATGACCTCTTAGTTAACTAAAGAATAAATTACGTTTTTTTGTCCATGTGGTCTACGGTTTGTTAAAAATTACGAATTTTTTCGCCACTATGATTTTGAAAATTTAGTTTTCGTCTCTATGGTTTGAAATTCATTTCCATTTTCATCCCTGAGGCAAAAACACTACCTTTAAGTATGAAGGACTAAAATATAAATGAATTGTAAACTATAGGGACGAAAGAAGTAATAATTTTAAATCATAAGAACAAAAAAAAGTAATGAATTATAAACCATAAAGGGATGAATATCGTAATTTCAAAATACAAATTTCCAATAAACCACAAGGACTAAAAACGTAATTTACTCTTATTCAAATGACATTTTTGGTAAAGAGGTGAGGTGGTTTTGCCCAAATACATGATAAGACTTCAGTTCGGTCACAAATCCTTTAGCCTCAGTTACTGAGTGAGCCAAATAATGTCCCCTTAGTTAGTATCCTTGGAGACAGGTTCCATGTGGGACCGGTTGGGGTTGTCAGTATACATGATAAAACTTGGGTTCGGTCACAGATCCCCTAGCCTCAGTTACTGAGTGTGCCAAATAATGCCCCCTTAAATTAGTATTTTTGGAGACGGGTTCCTTGTGGGACTGATTGGGATTGTCAGTAATCAACTTTTTGTCTAAACAATGACCAAAACTTTATCACAAGTACGTACCTGTATATATACCACATTTGACAAGTCCGATAAAAATCTCAATCAAGTTTTTATATACTCGTATTCATATTCACACTCGAACATAATAAGCTCGGACTGAATCGAGATCGAATCAAACGGTTTGATGGTCAAACTTTAAAATATATTGCAGAAATGGAGCAAAGGGAAATGTAAGCATGTAATGGGGATGCCACTCTTCAAAGGGGAAGAGGATCATATTTCAATGGCTTTTTTGTACAACTCTCCATCTCCACCCATACCCATCAACATGAACAAGAAGATGACTATTTCTATTGGTCAACAAGTTTTGTTGATTTTGACTTTGACCTTATTTTATATGATTTTATTGTAAAGTTCCTATTGGTGTTCTATTTAAGAGTGATTTTTGTATACATAAATCTGTTGGAGTTCGATGTAATTTTTTAATACATTTTTGAATTTTAAAGAATTTGTTGAAGATGCTCTAATGAGACCAGTTCAGATACTTTAGCACCTAATTAGGACCACTGACATCATTTCGGTCCAATTTAGAACCGAACCCAAGACCGGCTTGGAACTAGGTTCAAGCCGGTCCATCAAGCGCTGGGAACCGAGTCCTGACAACCTTTGATCTAATGCATGTCCATTAATGCATCAAGAGATGTAGAATACTGGTCATAAAAGGATAATTCATCGCTAGCCCCATAACATTTTAAATAACTAAACCATCATCTTATCTCCCAACAAAACGAAACCAAAAAAACAACGATAAAACTACGAATCATCTTTTGACGCTACCCTCTGGTCCGCACTCAAACGAATGACCAGTTAACGAACATAAAACAGATGCAATGAGCGTTGTCTTCTTCGTTCAGCACTTTCCATGCCACGGCTCTCTCGTAAGAAACCGGTCTCCCCATGCTAGATACACAGATACCGCCTTGTAGACACGCGAAACCCTGCTGCATTATCTGTGGGAACTCCGAGCACAAACTCTTTCTTCCGTGTTCGTCGAGAATTTTCTCCAAACCAATGTCTTGAAGAGCAACCAGCGTCGTCTCGAGCATATCGAGACCTGCCTGGTTCGAAAAAGTGAATACTGGCAATGCCTGCATCGAACCATAATGGTTTAGTAGCATAAAAGGCTAGCAAATATCTTGCTCATAAGTAGAGTCTTAAACATAATGGTTTAGTAGCATAAAAAGCTAGCAAATATCTTGCTCATAAGTAGAGTCTGAAATGTGGGAGGTACGTAGATTTACTGAGGTCCCACTCAAAAGTGGGATCTACATTGGATCCCACAGTGGGACCACTCTATGCAGACTTATCTTCTACCTCATAGATTCCACCAAAAAGTAGGGTCTGAAGGGTGGGACCCACTAAAAAATACGGTCGGGAGAGATGTAAGGAGGCCAAAAAGTAGGGCAGTTGTTTCCCTGAAAACAGGGAGAAAAAAACGACGTACTTTTAGAGAGCAGCATAAGATCGCATCCGACTGGTGCCACAGAGATTTAAGAATCGACTCACTTCCTTCGCCCGGAACTTTAAGTAGCTCAACACCCAAATAGCACCTGTTTCATGAGCCAAAAGTCCAATGGTTCATGGAAGTCCGATCTATATCTATAAACCAACGAAATTGTTTTTCGGCTTACCAATCGCCGTTACCTGTAACTGTGACTTATCCAACGAGCTAACGTATGTGCTTCGGGTGTGCCCAATGGTGCCTGAATACCACCGTTCGGGTTCAGATGAGACGGAGATAAGGCCGACGCGACCCTCTGAACCGAAGATATAATGCTATGGACGTATTGGCGGGCCATCGCAGCTACGCTTTCTTGCATATGGCTCTCGAACGCAAACTCAAAAGCTATCGTCATCACCGATCTTGCATTGCCGCTGCTGACACTTCGATCGCCAGACGTTTTATTCCCAGGCCCTCGAACTTCAAGAGCCGAAGCAAGATCGAGGGTGCGACTTGGGCTTGAAGCCTCCTGTGCGTATATCGCAGTTAGTTTTTAGGGGATGTGAAAATAGAAAAACAAAGGTATCAACAAACACATACATTGAGAGAACTCCTAACCTTGCAGAAATCAAGAGGAATGATGCGAAAACCCGAGGGCAAAAGAGGTGCATCATCGGCAAAAGAAGCATCAATCGGAGCAAATACAAGTTCCGAACACATTCCAACAGCATTCTCATCCATTCCGCTGCATAACTGTTATTTTTCAGAAACGGATCAGAAGACGATGGTACGAAAATTATAAATATGTGTTAAATGAGTGTAAAAACGACTCGTACTTGAAGAAGAAACATGTCTCGTGCCATTAGAGCGTCTTCAGGACAATGACTGACACCCTCGAGCTTAATCACCTCCAAAAGCTAGAACAGAAAGAGATTGGTATTTGTTTCCAATTAGCAACGGGAAACTCGGAATTATGAAATCATATCGATGTCAAATTGGAATCTATCGACTTACCTCTTCATGCTCGATAGTATGAGCAAGGGGAAGGATAATTTGACCCCCGAAATTACCGGCTCGAGACCCAGGTAAGCTACAAGGACCGAGTTTGATGGCTGCAGCCGAGTAAGCATCAACATTGTTGTCGGCCCATTCTGAACGATGCTCCCGTAAAAACCGAAGCAGGAGGGCCGGAGGGACATTCTGGGAAATACAGAATGCTTAGAAAATGTACAAACATACGGGTTTCCACATAAATGTCGGTTTTCATGGCTGACCTGTAGAAGCATCGATGCTTTTGCGCACATGACCGAAGTGTTAACAGACGGGTATCCATTCGAGAAAGAAAGATTCAACCCCATAAGCTTTTCGGGAGAAGAATTCACAAGAATCGTAACATCATCCATTCCATCGGTACCCATCAACGACCATCCCTCGTCAGTAAATCCGTTAACCGCCTCATTGAAACCCCTGCCAAGAAACGATATATCAAAATAAGCACATCGAAGACCCTTGAAACCGATCAAAATGATGTGATTTGGGTACCTGCTCAACCGCTGGCTAAGTGCTCGTAAAGCCGCAGGTCTTCGGCCCCAATTCGGGGTACTCGATTGAGAAACCTCCTGAGCTATTTGCCTCAGCTGGCGTAACGCCTGTTCAAGATTTAAACTTTAACGTCCCAAATCCGGATAGACTGATTGCTTATAGAGGGTTAAGATCATTACCATCATTGTCGTTTTTTGAGCAAGAACGGTCGATGATTCATACAACGGGCGCAAGACTTCGGGTACACTCCAGGCCTATGTAGTTATACACGTATCATAATCAGATCATCGTATAAATATATATAGGGTTAGTTTAGGGGAAAACTCCAAAAAATAATAAAATTGACGAACACCGTGGCAACCATTCCTCTAGACAGTATGCACATGTGCATAGAAGTAATTTGTCAGCAACTTGTCTGGCATGCACAAGTGCATAGAACCAATAAATTACTTGTATGCATAGGTGCATATCGTGTTTATGAAAATCATCGTATATATGTAAAAAGAATCATGCAATCCAGTAAAGTTCAAATCTTTACCTCTAAATTCATATGATCCACAATGTGGATGATCGACCCGCCTCCTTCACACGGCCTAATAAGGTACCCACTCGGCAGCATTTCCGCTCGCACAAAATTCGGCACTGGTGGTATGCTCGGACCGTTCTGGGTGTTCGATAGCGATCTTTCACATACCTGAGAATCCACAAGACACCAAGTCAATTAAATCAAGCCCGTAAAACTTAGATTTTTTTAGAAGTCATGGATAATAAGGGTTACGAACCACTAGGCTGCCATCTTCAGTAACGGAAGTATAGCGTAGCAACCAGAAGTCACGAGCCGTAGCCAAAGTTGTAGGGGCGTAAAGCTAGAACATCAAAATCAAATGAAGTCGGAATCAGAACCGGTGTAAATAGAGGGAATTAACGATAATAGCGAGGTGGGATCGAATATTTCTGACCTGCATGTATAAAAGCTCGATGGTTCCACCATTAGCGGTGGGTAGCACGTCGAGGACGTCCACGGTTCGGCATTCGCGAAACCAAGTAGGTCGATCCTTGAGGATTTCAGCAACCTGAGACAATGATTCAGAAAACCCATATGTTCGAATTATTGTACAGCAGATATTATACTGTTAGGATTTGCTTGGTTTTTGATTAAGTCCTGTATGATAAAGTTGTCTGTGTGGATTGAAAAGACTTTTCTTTGGTAGGCCCTTTTTATATATAGAAGGAGCATATATTAAATTGGGAGGAGTAGGATTGGAAAAAACTTGGCTTGCTGCATAAAGTTCCCTTGGAAGCTTAATGAATAAGCAACTTTATACATATCCATTAAGCTGCTAACAAATAGACCCATAGAGTCCCACATCCGCATATTCTTGCAAATACAAAGAAGACGACGTAATCGGAAGGATCATTCTTACCCTTGTAGGCTCAAGACCGACTAGGCCGCATGCTCGAGCCGCCACACCAGTGCAACCATGAGAAATAGCAACGATTCCAATGGAATCCGGACCAGGCTATATTAAAGAGCAAAGAAAGTTGATCAATAATCTAAATGCATCAACAGAATATATCGATGAATTCGATATAGAGGCATCAAGATTGGAAATTGACTTAAATAGCCAATCTCATCAACCAAATTCACTTTTTAGCCACTCCGTTAAGCCTCTTCGCAAAATAGTCGGTCTGATTTCTTAAGCATACGAGTAAGGATTTTATACGCAAAATTTTGAATCCTGACGTAAAAACGTCTTTTTTATCTGAAAAGCGAGTTTAAGCAAATGCGCAAGACATTTGCATAAACTCTGCCTAAAATGGGAATTCAACCGAAAAAGTGTAGTTGGTTGGGAAGATCGGCTATTTTGGTCAATTTCCCATATTCATATATATACACACACACACGGCAAGGTTCATTTAGAAACCTTAAATATTTTGAGAATCCAGAAACCATCTATTTTGTATAGTATTGATGAAGAATAACGTGACATATATTCATGATGAATAATATCATTAATATTTAAGGTTAAGGTTATTCATCATGAATACTACATAAAATAGGTGGTTTATAACTTCTTAAATATTTAAGGTATATAGAGGGAGGTTCGATCATGAAGAGTAACCAAATAAGAGATCACGAAAACCATCAAATACCGTGCAAAATCATATGTGATCATGTGATTTTGCACCAACAGTCAATATAAGGTGTGATCATGTGATTTTGCACAATTTAGGAAGCGACTTAAGTCGCCCTTACACCACCAATCCCCTCACGTGTATTATCACATGTGATAAGGGTGTTCTTGAAGTGATACTATAATCCATCACATGTGATACTAAATCATAGACGTAAACGACTTGTGGCACAGCCTAATTCTCAAGACACGTCGTTCACACACCACCAGGTCCGCTCACGTGTATTATCACATTTGATAAATATTCTAGAGTTCTCGTAATACGGAGGTGTGCTCATTTGAACCTCCACCTATACGTGTATATACATATATATATATATATGTGTGTGTATATACATATATATATATGTGTGTGTATATACATATATATATAT